CAATTGCCATTGAGGCCTCTTGGTGTACTGAGTATTAAACATAGACCCAATAGTGTGATATTCACCTTTTTGGGAAAAAAAGAGACAGAAAACTTATTTGTATTGTCTACCTTCTTCCTAAATTTTGAGTTTTATTCATGTGCAAGTTGAGCTTGGGATTCTCAGGAGCTTATAGGAATTGCTGGAGTGCTAATGCCATTTTTTCCCCTTCCATGAAGCCCCTCTGGCTGTACATTCTGGGGAAAAAAGCCATGGAGCCGTAAAAAGAAGATTCTCTGGCAGCTGGGCACGTTAATTGGAGCTCCTGTGGGCATTTCCCTCATTGCTGGCATTGCCATTCCTGCCATGGTCATTGGCATCCCTGTGTACGTTGGGAGGAAGGTGAGTGTGGGGGGCAGAAGGGTTTGGGGTGCTCTCTGTGCTGTCCAGAAATTTAGAGCTGATAGGAAGGGTGGATCTTGTCATAGAACCCAAATTCAGTTTTCTCTTCTAAAGCTTCTCTTATCTCCTGGGCTTTGTGTGGGCAGGGGAAAGGTGGTGGCTGATAGCCCTGGTAGCCCTTTAGGCTCAGGTCCTCCCAAATGCATTTTGCATGTCTTTTGTGCCTCTGCTTTGACCCAGGAGCACCCAAGGAATCCCTTTTGAGCCCATCAGCCCTGTACTTGTGGTAACTTCTCTTTCTTCAACACACCCCCTCCTGCTAGGTCTGCTCTGTGAGGAGATCTGTGCTCCAAATTAGGTTCTTCAAGGGCTCATACAGCTGTAAAATCACTTCTTAATGTCCCCTGGGTGTCTGCTGTTCTCACCTGGTGCATTTTCTTCCATCAGATCCACAGCAGGTATGAGGGGAAGAAAACCTCCAAGCACAAGAGGAACTTGGCCATTACTGGTGGGGTCACCTTGTCTGTCATTGCCTCCCCAGTCATTGCTGCTGTCAGTGTTGGTAAGTGGGCTCAGCCCTGTCCCTTTTGCTGCCCAGTAGCCACTGAGACAAGTGGGTAGCCCAGCCCTGTGCCATGGGGGTGGCCAGAGGGCATTTTGCAGAGTGCAGCTCAGTGTGGGTTTGGGCACAATGCTGTCGCCCATCCTGGAGTCCCTTGTCACACAGAGCTGTCTCCTGTCATGGTTTGGTGGCTGATGCCTTGGAACGTTCTTGGGGGTTCAATGCTCTTGGGGTTCCCCCCCTCAGCCCACAGAGCTCCTCCACTGTCTGTCAGCATAACTGATTTGGAACCTTTAAATGCAATAAAAACATGACTGAGAGAGTCCCTAAAAAATCTTTTCTGTCTGCCCAACGTATCTTCAAGCTCTTCTTAACCCAGCTCCTCCTCCTCTCCAGGAATTGGGGTCCCCATCATGCTGGCCTACGTCTACGGGGTCGTGCCCATCTCGCTGTGCCGGGGTGGTGGCTGTGGGGTCAGCACAGCCAATGGAAAGGGGGTGAAAATCGAGTTTGATGAAGATGATGGACCCATCACAGGTAAAAACTGGTGATGAGAAGGCGGTGAAGCAAAATGCTCTTGAAATGCTTTGAGGTCCTGATGTCTCCCAAACCTGAGACGAGACGTCGCAGCCGAGCGCTCCCGCTGCCGATTCCACCCCCTGTGCTCTCCTTCCCTGCAGTGGCCGACGCCTGGAGAGCCCTGAAGAACCCCAGCATTGGAGAGAGCAGCATTGAGGGGCTGACCAGTGTGCTGAGCACCAGTGGCAGCCCCACAGATGGGCTCAGTGTCATCCAGGGCAACTACAGCGAGACTGCCAGCTTCGCCGCCCTGTCCGGGGGCACCCTGAGCGGGGGGGTCCTCTCGGGGAGCAAGGGGAAGTACAGCAGGTAACTGGACAGTGGGAGAAGCAGAGGGGATCCCAAGGCCTGTGTGGGTTGAGTTGGTTTGTTTTGGGGGGCTTCCCAGCAGTGCGAGTGAAGCTGCTTTGATCTAGGGGTTGTGTCGTGGTGGTTTTGTGCCTTGGTTTGTTGTAAAATAACCGGGTCTAGGAGATCACTTAGGATGATCTGGAACCCAGAGCCACCCAGGGCTCTGGCACAGATGGCCCAGAGAGGTTGTGGGGTCCCCATCCTTGGATGCTGCTCTGAGCAGCCTGGTCTAGGAGAAGGTATGCCTGCCCATGGCAGGAGGTTGGAACTGGATGATTTTTTAAGGTCCTTTCCAACCCAAACCATTCCATGATTCTGTTTCTAGAGTCAGTGCCAGTCTAGTTCTTGCAAGGAGGACAGATCCCTACTGAGCTCCTTGAGACCACAGAGCTGATGCTTCAGCTTATTTGGGAACAGCACAGAGTTCCTGCCTGCCCTGCTTAAAGCTATTCCAGCCCTGTTATCCCAGCCTGGAGGCTTTGATGCTTCCTGTTCTGCCAGCAGGGTCATGGCTCTCCAAGTCAGGAGGTTACACCACAGTTTTCCTCCTAACTTGCCTGTGAGTCAGTTTGCTGGGTAATTAGAGCCACGTGTTGATGTGGCAGCCAGGATGTAATCTGTGTGCGAGATCCATGGAAATCAGCTCTTCGCAGGAATCGTGTGAGTCATGGCTGTAAACACTGCTTTACCTTCGTCATGGAAAACGGAATGGATTTGCCTAAATAGAGCCAAAAATGAGACTAAACGAGAGCAACCACCGGGGTTAAACTGCAGTGTTTAACATGGGTTAAACACTGAGCTGGGCCAGCTCACAGGGATTCTCGCTCTCCCGTGAGGAGCAGGGATGGGTCGGTGCTCCTGAAGCATCAGAAACATTTCTGAGGAATCCTCTTCTTTCCCTGCAGGCTGGAAGTCCAGGCAGACGTGCAGAAGGAGATTTTCCCCAAAGACTCAGTCAGTCTGGGGGCCATCAGCGACAACGCCAGCACCCGAGCCATGGCTGGTTCCATCATCAGCTCCTACAACCCCCAGGACAGGTGGGAGGACGTGGAGTGCTGAGGGGAGCGTTGGTGGAGGCCGTCCTGGGAGTGTGCACGCTCTGTGGGTGGTGGGATGGCTGTGTGTGCACCAGGGATCCTTCTCCCAGCACGGCAGGAGGGCTGGGGACGGTGTGGGAGCAGCCTCCGTGTGTGGTGGGCAGGCTGGGGAGGGGATCTGCAGCCCAGCACCCTCAGGGGCTGCTCTGGCAGTTTGTGGGGACTCTGGAGCTTTCCCAGCTCAGCCTGGGGGTGGTTGTGGCTCTCATAGGAGGATTCAAGGAGGGCAGGGAGTTGTGGGGTGAGGAGCAGCACCTTGCTGGTGTTTGGGAGGTGTGATCCTCCCAGCACAGCCCAGTGACGTGAGGGTGGTTGCTCCTGCAGGGAGTGCAATAACATGGAGATCCAGGTGGACATCGAAGCCAAACCCAGTCACTACCAGCTGACCAGCGGCAGCAGCACAGAGGACTCCCTGCACGTCCACACCCAAATGGCAGAGAACGAGGAGGAAGAGGAGGAGGAGGAGGAGGAGGAAGAGGAGGAGGATGACAAGCGGGAGCAGCCGTGCGAGCACCAAAGCTGTGAGCAGAAGGACTGCATTGGCAGCCAGACGTGGGACATCACCCTGGCCCAGCCCGAGAGCATCCGCAGCGACCTGGAGAGCTCGGACAGCCAGTCGGACGACGTGCCGGACATTACCTCGGACGAGGGCGAGTCCCCCCTCTGTCAGACTGCAGCAGGCTGCCCTCACACCCCCAGAGCAAGAGGTGCCCAGAGCCCAAGTGCCCACCTGAGCCACTGTGCCCAAGCCGAGGGCTGCCGGCTGGATGAGATGGTCCAGCTGGAATGCATCGAAGCCAGAGTGTGACCTGAGCACTCTCCTGTCAGCTTCTGGGCCAGGGTTGTGTCCCTGTTGGCTTCTGTTTGCCATCCTACAGCTGGGCTCCTCCAGCCTCGCCTCGGGGAGTTGCTGTTTCTTACGTGACAGAAAAAAAAAACACCAACAAAAAAAAAAAAAAAAAAA